ATAAGTTTCTTAAGCTCCATAAGCATTATACTCCGTGCCGATTTTGTATCCCCGTACTTGGAAAGCTGCTCATTCTGCCTGTATTAATTTGAAAGTGAAGAAAGATAATTCACTACTCCAGCCGATAGGAGGCATTATTCCTCAAAAAAGTGATAGGAGGCATAACCAGTAGCTCTTTAGATTTAAAACTAATTACCTAAAATTCTCCAGAGTGAGCAAAACAGTGATCTCCTTGAAGAGCTCCTCATTGAAAGAAGCAAAAACTTTTAGATCCTTTACAAGTATCTCAACAGCTTTCGCCCTATCATGTCTGAAAATACATGAAACACCATTCAAAAAGGGACCAGTTAAATTGGAAAATCCACGTCCAAGACAAAAGAATGAAATAATTCTACCTGTCAAGTGCTTCGAGGTACTTCTGTTTTCTAATCTCAAAGAAGATTTTCATGGAGTAGCGATTGTCTTCCACTTTGGTGAAACCACCAAGATATCTCTCAACTTCATCCCATTCCCCTGCCTGAATCAGATCCTCAAAATGTTTCATGTTGAAGTAAAAACCCGACTCCTGTTCCAACCTACAATTCAACCAGTTGCTTAATTAAAAGGCAAAGGAAGTTTAAGAGATTTAAATGATGTAGCCTACAAGAAGAAGCCTTACTTATGAACAGCATCCTTGAATTTCTCCTCATCTAGGAATTGCAGTATCAGGAAAACCAGTTCCCTGCTTAATGAAGACATTGACCCAGGAATCGTCGAGCACTCCGGCGCAAAGATTTCGAATCGAAAAGGAGGAGAGAAAGCAGAACCAACTAAGGATCTTCCAAACAACAGACTCACAAAACTTGAGGCGTACAAAGATCCTTCCCCTAAGCTTCTACCTCCTCTGTTCCCACCTCCTTTGCTATAGAAAGTGATCAAAGACTCTGCCGCATGTTCTCCGAAGTACAAACAGAGGCCAAACGCTTTTAAATATCAGTCAAAATACTCTGAAGAGGATAAAAACCACAGCTTTCCACCTTAAAAACGAACTCAGAATCGGAAAACCCTTCTACAAAACAAACACCAACCACAGAGCCTCCGCCACGTGCTTCGTAAGTCCAGGAGCACAAAAATCACGACCTTCCCGCAAAAGAACCCTAAAGGCCTGCTGAAGCATGAACCGGAAAGCCCCAACTTAGAAAACAAACACTAACAACAGCGACTGCGCCACGTGGTTCCCTAGTCTCGGAGTACAAAAACCGCGACCTTCTCGCCGAAACGACCATAAATAAGCACCGTCTCCCAAAACACAAGCCAAGAATCCGCCGGGAAAAGGCACCAGATCGCCGTCAAAAAGGAGGAAAAGCTCGCGTCAGCGATCCGGAGCCGATCTGAACCAAGAAAGACGCTCCCTTCACGAAACCAAACGAAAGAACCCTCGATCGGGAGCTCGATTCCTCCAGAACAGAGGAAGAAGCACCGATCGGACCCGAGAGGATCGACGCCTCCGCATAAACTTCTAGGGTTTTGAAGGGTGCGCTTTCTCTTCCCCACTCCCGCTTCTTTCTCTCTCGACTCTTCTCCTCTCCTTACCACCCGCGGCCTTCGCTTCTCTCTCCCTCCCCTCACGCCTTTTATAGCCCTACTCGAACTCCGCTTGAAATTACCTCTCTACCACCCCCAAAGCCACGTCGGCTCGTCGGCAATAGTACGGCCGAGTCAGGGGCTTTTGCGGGATTTCAACTCCGGGTCGCTCTCGCTTGACCGCAGGGGTAAAACCGTCAGCCTGAACTTAAGGACGAAGCATCTTCCCTTTACGGCCCCACATTTTTAAGGATATTTCGGTCAATTCACGCTTCCAGAAGAGAGAGGACCCACCACGTCAACCATCCTCGTACCCGATTAAATCGCCCCGCTTTTGGATTTCTTTTCGACCTTCGCGGGTTTTGACAGAACGATAAGAACACTTGTGTTTTCCATAAATGTACCCCATCTCGCTGGTCTTGGACCCGTAACAGAGACAAAAAGAGGGTGAGTTTAGCAGAGATGTTATGCCCGTTAGCACCGACGTCATCAGGCAATCGGCTTATCACCACCATCTCATCGTGTGTTGCGCGAAACACTTACGGATAAGCAGAACGACTTATCACTCCCCGATGATGACTCCGGCCGTCTCTAATCTTCTAAGTAAGCTAGATACGTGCGTATGCCGGTACAGGCAACACCTAGTTCAACCACTGAGATCCGTACACGTTTTCACCGATGGCCTCACGCTTTGATGCCACATGACGCATGCACCAATCAACAGCTGCCCCGTGCTGTCCTGGAGACAGCAGAACCTGAGTCCACTGCAAATGGAGATCTAATCGAATCTGCTGTGTGGGAGTTTACAGCATTAAAGTATGAGTGCTTCATTAAGTAAGGGTCACGTCATTGGACTACAGTTCCTCATTAAGCCTGGAGGAAGTAAGTACGTACGTTTCGGAACGGGGAATTCCAAGGGCAGGACACGATGGTCATTTAGCTAGGGGAAGGGGGGCATTGTGGGAATAAAGTACTCATGAGGGGACCGACGGAATGACGAATCTGCCCCTGGAATCGAAGCCTTCTTGACACCGCGACTCGCGCGAGACGAGATTTGGCTCCATCTCGCGTGGCTTTCAGTGATGGATGCGTCGCGCTGTTGACCGCGAGACCGGTAGCTGGGAGGAGATGTGGACGGCAGCGATCTCACGATGCCCGCGGGGCCCTCCTCCTGCGGTGGAATTTCTATTCCTACTTTTGGTCTGCTGCGATGTGCCCCCATGATGTGTTGACTACAGGAAACATACTGTGGTGCATCAACATGATTACAGAGAACTCAGTTGATGGTGCCTAAAGCTCTTTTATCAGGTAATAATCTTCCTCTGTACATACACATTGATCAGCACACGAAGATGGCATGGGATCTGTTTTATGAGATGGGTACCTCACGTCTGTGTGTTGTTTTCTGGGTCATGTCACTTTCAGTTGGAAGGTGGCCAAAGCCTGAGAGCATGGCCCCTTACGATGCACAGGGGAAGGAAATGTGTGGACGAGCAGGGCAGGGTTGTACCGGCGCCGAGCAGGAACAAGTCTGGCCATGGCACACTTGACGTCCCTGAGATGACAGCCGATCACACATCAGAACAAGGGAGCAGTGCATGGACCTGCTGCATGCCTCGCTGCTTGTTTCCACTCGTGGTTACATGAGCTGCATGCATGGCCTACAATAACAGTGTAAGAGAAAAGTGAAGGTGACGGATAAAGAGGAGGAGAAAGAGGGTGGTTGGAGTGAAGAGTACGTAACCTGTGATCTCATCTATTCCTTGAGATTGGCGTTCGAGATGCATCCAAGAATTAATTCTGAGAACGTACGTCTTCTCCTGTCGCAACGGGAACCGAGGATCGATGGGGGAGGGAAGAGCTAGGGAGGAGGACGGCCATGGTGCATGCATGTACCCACTCGCGAGCTCGATACAGCAGGGCGATGAACGGCGAGAGCTCCATCTGCAGCTCGTCGGTGCATGATATCTCGTCTCTGAGCATGGAGTCGGGCCTTTGAGGTCCTGATCATGGCTGCTTCCAAACGAGACCACCTTTTCTCGTTGTGGTCTCAGAGGGGGCCGTCCTCTTGCTCTTGGTGTTTATCGGAATGGGAACACTCAGGGATGGAGAAGACGTGGTCTCTCGTGATCGGATGGTGGTAAGCTTCGATGGGGAGCGGCGTGTTGTGTCCCCACAGGGAACGGCTTCTGTGCTCCGTGGTTGGACCTCGTCGTGAGAGGACCGGAAGAGAACAAAAGGAAAAGGTGTGTCAATCATAATATTCTTGAAAATACTTGTAATGTTTCGAAAAACACCAAAGAATTATTTATGTTATGAGGAATTATTTACTTTCGGTGATGGATATATTCATACGATTTTATCATTTCGGAACATGTAAATTCTAAAAGGAATCTACGAGGATACGAAAGATATGAATCCTTAATTTTTATATTTTTATTTAGAATACATCTAAAGATTATACGAAGAAGAATAAGAGATTCTTTTGAGAAAGCTTGATGAGTTTTCTCCACCATTCATCCTATAAATGCACGCATGCAATTACAAGGAGAAGAACATTTATATTACCATGTCCATTTTGGTGCAAACCGAGATGTCATGTTTTCCTCAAGTTTGGTCAACAGAGGATGATGAAGACATGACAAGTTTCTAAAACAGGCTTCCGAAATGATGCTACTGTGACTCCGAACCCCCTCTCGTTTCTCATCCTCCTTCGCCCTTTCGGCATGCAGGTTGGTGTGTTGGGCTCAAAAGGATGCAATGGCCAGCAGGCCAGCAAACTGATGCTGACAGCACTTTGTCCCATCTGATTCACACAGTACTAACACAGAGAAGTCACTGTTTTGAGACCAAGTCCCCCAGCTCAGTACATGGCAGGAGTAGCCACAGGCTCGCTCACAGTGACAGGGATGGGATCTTCTCCTTCGCGTCACTGTCATGATCAGTAGGTTGAGCAGGATAAGGGAAATAATGTAGTCTGCCTGTGATTTATCTGACATGTGGTCCGTCATTGGTTTAGATAGAGAAAGAGAGAGAGAGAGAGAGTCTCCCCTTTTGCAGTGTAGAAACCATTAATGATTTGATTGTTGGAAAATGTTTTGGATATTTGGACCATCACAGAGAATGTTGATTGTTCCGAATTGATGCCAGCCGAGTTGGTGGAGTTATAACCAAATCAGACTCGATTCCAACTCCAAAGCAGAGTGAGATTGATCAGCTAAAGGCAATTCAGACTGATGAACTGAGCCAGTCTGATCTAAAATTATCTGAAGAAATGATCAGCAAACTCATCTTCCTTCTGATTTCCAAATGTGGAGTTGGTACAATCTCCAACCACTCCATTTATTGAAGACTCAACTGCTCCACCATATTGTTTCCAAGAACACAAACAGACAACTTGCCATCATCTCAGAAGGAGCCCAAAGTGGAACTCTCATCTTCCTTTTAAATTCTACCTTCCCATCTCAAGCTTATCACTAATCTTCTCTTTGCAGCTCACAACCAAAGAATGCAGGATCCCAAGTATGCATATCCTTATCCTGCTCAAGGTAATTCCAACTTCACATTTGCTCATTGTTTTCTTTTCCTGATTGATGGAATGATTTCTATGATGATATTAATTTGTAACAATGGACATGTGTTCTTGCTTCAACAAAATGATGTCTTCACAACATTAATTATGAAAAGTATATATTTGGTTCAGCACAAATCAACACAATTTTGTGGAAATTATGTGCTTGTTGATGTAGGATACTACCATGGGCCTCCTGTGATGGCACCACCTCAATATGCTGCTGCACCACCCAGGAGGAGCAGTGGCTTCTTGGAAGGATGGTTAGTGATCAAGTGCTCATGGCTTCTTCTTTTCTGCACCCAAAGATTTATTCTCTACTCTGTAACTCAGAAAAGCTTCTCAAGTCACCCATTAATTTGTTGTGATTTAGTGTTAACAGCCATTCTGTTTCTGTGTTTATTTTTCTGTGTGATTCAAGTATTCAACATTGAAGGAGTATCATCTTTAATTGATGATCAAAGATGAAATGTCATAGTGTTATTAGTCAGTAACCTATTTGGTCAGTTGTTATTGTTGAGGTTTTAGGTAGAAGAGTAACTTTGATTTGTCAAACATATATTTTGGAGAGTTCACTTGAGATGAAGTTGCTGATGTTGTTTTCTCAAACAAATTTTTTTATTTAACTATAAGGAATTGATCTAATGTTGTTGTTGCTGAAAATTCTTACTTTGTTGCATTGATGTAATTGTTAGCTAAGCACCAATTCCTGTTATTTTTCGCATGCTCATAACAGTAGTTATGTTGCTCCTATGGTTGCATAATATTAACAGATGATTTCAGAATAATTTTTGCTGGTTATTTATCAAGATCTAACTACAAAATATATTTATTTTCATCACTAATTTTGCCTTTAGCAACAAAATATGTATCACTTCCAATATTGATTGTAACAACAACAGCATCTATTGCTAAAACTCTTGAGCAAGAATTTTTATTTTAAAGTAAAAAAAATCTTTTTATCTAAAGGTTAATTTTATATAATTTGGAGGTATTTTAATCACCAACATCTTATACTTGTTTGACAGGAATGTAAATGCTGATTCACTTATAGAGTATGCTTTTAGAGCAAAAAGTCAAAACTTTTCTTATTTTAAAATTAGGTAAGAGTGGAAATATATGCCCACAGGTTTTGCTAAGGATAATTTTTTCCCTATCTGGCTTCTTAAACAAGGCAAATCAAATTAGAAGATAATAATTTTGATCAATAGATCTGCATGAAAAAAATGAGATCACAAAATAAACTGGCTACAGTAATTTCTTTTGTGAAATGTACATCACTTCCTATGGTTTTTGTGATGATTTCTCCCCTCACACTTGATTGTTTTATTTTGTAGCCTTGCTGCTCTTTGCTGCTGCTTTCTTATTGATGAGTGTTGCTGTGATCCATCCATCCTATTTATCTGCTGATATCACTGCTCAATCTTGAAGTATTTGCTGCCTTTAAACACACTTGAAGTTTCTGCTGTGAAGCTGTAATCAAGCTTGAAAGTGTTTCAGCATCTTTATTTAGAGAAACTCCATAAAATTATGTTCTATTGTGGTTAGTAGTGATAGTCCCAACAACATTAATAAGTAGTTTCATGGAAGAATCTGATTACTATAGTTGACACTTTTGCTATTCATATCTTATCTTTTAGAACCATTAGGGTCTTCAAAACTGAAATTAACATTAACCAACTTTTTTATTTGGATGGATAATTTTAGCATCATTTATCACGAACTAGCTCGATAACGAATGCCTTATAAACCGAGATTACGCGATGAGAGTATTTGTTCTTTAGTGAGGTACTCCCAAAATGATAAATCTTAAAATATATTAAATGTATATGATCACCACACCTTAAGATCTTAATTAATGCTTCAAATTATTATTATTATTATTATTTTAAAATTTTTCATGATTTTGACATGGACGAACAGTTTCTTGAAATCAAATTAATCAAGTAATAGTCGAAGGGTTCTCATTTCTTTGTAGTTGACTACTGACTCCTTGGAGAGTTGGAGAGGCTACATGAAGTGGCCATTTACTGTCTTCAAAAGATCTGATTATGTGAACATGCAGTGACAAATACCAGTACAAGACCTCCCAAGTGCAGAACATTACCATTTAGGAATAGAGAATCTCTGATACAGAGTAAAATTCAAATTGATTGATGGCTACAGACAATTTTAATTGTCCATCATCAGTTGACTAAGTTAATGCTTCAAGCTTGATGTGTGAAAATGATTGCGCTCATCCAGGTTGCGCTAATGAGTCTTCACAATCACGCAACAAGCAGAAAGCAGAAGGCACGATATGGTCGCTGTCGCTGCAATATGATCCCTTGTGAAATTTTGTCAGCAGAAAGCATAATTTTTTACTCACATTTGATGGAACGATATATGTGTCGCACGAACAGCAAAGATGCACGAAAACCGACAGTCCCGAGCATAAGGAAGAATCCATAACAAATGCAAGTCATGTAACCAAAAAAGAATGATGTTTGCATGAAGCCCGACATGTCTGATCTCGCGTGATAGTAGTATATGCAGTAGAAGAAGATGAATACGCCGGTGGAGCCTCCACAAAGAACAGACCTGCAGAAGATAATGTGATGTTTTAAGACTGAAGAATCAACAACAGATGGTCTTTACATTATGCATGTAAAGGAAGATAAGGGATAAATGACTGTAGAACTTTTTTCATTAGCAAATAACAAATAAAATTATACAGAGCGGCAACCTTTATTTTGAGATGTTGTATAAAAACTGATCCAGCTATTTGCACTCAGCAGTCAGATAATACAAGATTTCAGCAGCATATAGGACACCTTTCTATTACGGTTTTGGTCAGAAACAGCAAGGTTTATTTTCATATATACACCCTCGAGCCCCCCAGATTACATGGCATAGATTAGTAAGACCGAGAGATCTAAAAGCTTTTAGTTCTCTGTCATGCATAGTTGTGACCTCCACTTATGATTACTGTTATTCAGAAAATATGATGAATAAGTATTACATTTATGTTCAAACAATTGTAATCACATCTTCATGATTGGAGAAAATGTTAGACATGTTGGAAGTTACCTGAAAAAAGTTGATTTTGTATGGCACTATAACCTTAACAATTACAAGTCTTTCGCAGCACAAGTTTTCTTCCATCTAATGAATTTTTCCTAAGATTCCATTAGAAATTGATCAATGTACAATTGTTGGATTGCCACAGTGTCCTCCACTCAAGTAACTAATATCCTCATCAGAAATTTGATCTGTCTATTAGGTTTTAATATTGCATTAGATATACAGCTTTAGATAAGGTTAAATCATGTAAGCTGCTCCTAATATGCAAATGTTTATAACTCTTTGGTGCATATCTATGAAATCCTCTCATCATGTCCATTGCTAGCTTTGACAACCAATCAATCATCGAAAATCAGTATGATATTGGCATTTAATTAGTCATTCACTTAGGATGAGGAAACAAAGCATTCAATCAGGTAAAACTTTGACCATCAAACATATGATCAGCTGCAGCGCACTTTTAATTATTTTTCCATTTAATCTAGCAAATTTAAAAGATAGCAGAACGGCATTGTCTTCCGAATTAGTGGACTTGGTTTTCGTAGAGGTGGATAGAAATCTAATTTTAATTTAAGGCAGGTGTTCATTCATTTCCATAGGGTTTTTCTGTTTAAAAGACAATATCAATAATAATAAGAGGGGTCATTGTTCAACAAAAAGGAATCTCCGTGTGGTTGCAATATTGAAAAGTTAGTTCTTCACCAGAGACTTCTGTTAGGTTGACACGATTAAATTCTCAAGGGATATGAATTAAAGATGAACCCACAAGGTATGGAGGAGGAAACAAAGGAAAGGAATAAGGTATATCTAGTTATCTACTACCCACATGATAGACGAAAACTTGAAGCCCATGGAAACTCTTGTAAACCGTGTCAATTAAAATGAATGAAATAACATTAGAAGTTCTTGAAAGATGAACTGAAATAAAACCTTAATGTATGCCATGATTCAAAAAACTCTCGACTCAAGACAACTAAATGACAAAAGAGGTACAACATTTACAAATATGTTCAAGCACGATAGTTTCAAGATGGCAAAACAGACTGCAGTGTCTATGCTAGACCAACTGAATGGTAGAATTATCTAGTAGAATGGAGAAGGCCAGATACTTACCTCCACCACCACCCGTGATCCTCTGCTGCAAGTTGGAAATATGTCAATGCAACAGTGATGAACGCTGTGACAATTATAAGAATGATGAAAACAATAAATAGGATACTATATATTGTATATATTTTGTGACCCCACACGCTAGCAAATATATAGTAGAGTTCTACATAGATGGCACTAAAAGGAAGGAATCCTGCCATTGCCATCTGAGGTATGGTGCCTCGATACCATGCCAATTCAGGAATTTCTCTTGGGTACTTGTTGGTACGGCATGGAGCTTGGAATTCAGTTTTGCTGTTTTTACCAGTAACCCCACCCAATATGAGCAAAGGGGAAGTAACCAATGCCCATATAAGTAGAATCACAAGGATGGTTCCAAACGGCAGAGCTGCAGTTGC